TGTGTATGTATTACTCACAATTTAAAGTACCATATGAAAACTACCAAGAATCTTAAAAAACGACTTTAAAACACATATAAATTAAAAAAATAGCGAGTTCTTGAAATTAAAAGGATTTTTATGTGCATATGTGTACTGATTTAAAATTCACTGAGATCTCCACTTACAAACTTTAAGAGGTGTCTATCTTTAAAATATTTCACAAACATTTCAAAATTGATTTGTGCTATTTTCTCTTCTCTAATATAAACATTTTCCTGAGACAATGGACTTGCATCATTTGTTATGTTTGACTTTAACATCAGAATTTATGTATACTACACAAGCATGCACGCACACACACAGGACTTATTCCATCCTCCGTACTAGTATTTGAGGACTTCATTTAATCTCTTTTAGAACTAACTAAAGAAAACATGCAGCTGTAGATAAGCTTCAAAATGCACATACTTGCCTTACTGTCTACATCCTAAGTAGACATACTTCACAGCCCATGTACCTCAGGGGCTTCTATTTAGAAGATCATATCAGAGTCAGACGTGGTGGTGCACACCTTTCATCCCAGCCTAGGGAGGCAGAGGCAGGCGGATCTCTGTGAGTTCAAGGCCAGACTGGTCTGTCTACATAGTGCGTTCCAGGCCAGCTGGGTCTACAGGGAGACTCTGTCTCAAAAAGACCAAAAAAAAGGGGAAAAAAAAAAAAGATATCAGAGGTACTTAAAACCTGAGCACAAAACTCAGAAACTAGAAAGGCCCACGAGTTTCTTCAAAACTAGAAACAAAACAGAACAAAATGCAACTCCACCTTAAGTACACATTCCTTATATTTAACAGGCTCGATTAAAATAACAATTTCCCTAGTTTCAGGCGAGAATGTCTTCAAACCAAGTAATTCTCTAGTGCAGATGTCAACAGGAAGGAACATAATTATTTGCTAAAAGAATCTACTAATGCACCAAGATTCTAGACATCAGGGTGTAAAAGAAATCTCATTCCCAAAGCCATACTTGTACAGGCAAGCATTTTAGTGGTGCCTAAAATGTGCTTAGAATTTTGAGTACCCCTCACTGCCTGACTTTAGAATATTGAATCAAGGAGCAAATCCTAAGTTACTGTGTTGGCGGTTTTCCAAAACTGTTGGCTCTCTAGGAAGCTGGAATGAGTAGGTAGTGCTCCCACCAGGACTGGCAGGGCTGACGCTCTTCCCCTAGCAAAACACAGGGGCTGAATGTCTTTCATGCACAGGCCCACTGTCTCTGCCTCTTTTAGTTCTTATGCCCCCCCACCTACCCACTTCACGTGCTCAAACCTCCCTTTGGGAACTTAAGATCAAAACATGACTAATCAGTTCTGAGGTTGTTTCTGACATATGGTGAATGGTCAAGAGTGTTTCCAATCAGAGTAACTGTAACCCAGGTAAACAATATGCAAATGGAGACAGAGTATCACTCTCACAAACCAAGACATAGTATCACTCTCCCTTCCTAATGAGATGTACCTCGGGGAAGAGTCCAGCACAGACAGAGTAGCACTCCACTGATACACCTTGGACCTTGGAAGCTCAGGAGAGCTTCCTTTTTCCAACTCAACAGGATGAAGGCTTCCACAATACTTCCACAGCTCACAGTGACAGCTGGTGATTATTTCAACTTCCCAAACAGGGTTCTTTGAAAACAACCTTAGATGTGGTCAGGCTGGATGCTGCTGATGACTACAAAGACAACCATGACAGCTACAACCACAGGGACCTAGCTTTTGTCTGTGCTTATCAAGTATACAAGCCACCCCATAGTCACAGCAAAAACAGGTTGGTGTTAAGAAACCTGTCAATAAGATGGACTGTCACCAAATGCCTACATCTGGGCTCTACTGTGTCACCTCACTCTGGCTGACTAGTACCTGTGCCACCACAGCTCTGCTCAGGAAGCGGGTATCTTCCTAAGTACGCTGCCAGCTGTGAGAATCCAGGAGAAACAAGGATAGGTGGGAAACTCCAAAGATGCCATGCTGAGAAGCCTCTTTATGTTGCCTTCAGAGCACAGTGACCTGACCTCAGAAGAGACACCAGTGAGGAACACACGATACAGAGCATAGGTCAAGACTCTGGGGTCTGGTTTGCCCTGGGAGCAAAGTTTCTGTCTTGGCTGGTTATGTCAGTGGTGCACTATTCAGGCAGTCCTCCAAGAATGCCACTCTGATACCTGAGTTTCTGAACAGTCTGCAGAGCTGGGTGCTGCTGACAACCGCCACAGGTTCCACTGGTATGGGGAGGTTCAAGAAGAGGGGAAGAGAGTTCATAAACAGCTCCTCTGCCCACTGGCAAGCTCAAAGGTAGGTCAAGATTCTCCTCAGAACAGTTGTGAGTTCACCCAACGTGAGTCTGCACAAGTGGATGTGATTCAACTTATGGAGAAAAGGGACTCTCTAAGGACCACCACACAACAATCACTCTACAAAGGTCTAATGCAAATGTCACTAAATGCTAGCACTCCTGGGAGATCATAAGAACACTAGTGGGCTTGGTAGGTGCACACCTGCAATCCCGGCACTGAGAGAAAGGGGAGCAGGTATCCGAGCAAACCTCCGGGAACTATTAGGATAAATCAGTCATAAAATGGTCTGAACTGTATGTGATTCTGAGACTTGCTCAGAAATGCTTTGGCTCAGGGCCCTTGGTGTGGGCGAGACACCTAGTTCTTCACTGACAAGGCCATGAGGAGCACTATCCCACACCAGGATGGAACCGTACCCACATTAGAAAGATATTCCTAAGATGCGAATCACTTATCCCAAAAGCTGGGAACCACAAAAGCTGTGGATTTGGGGCTGTTTGGGTTGTGGCATGTTTGCAGACTTCACATGCTTAGTACCCCTAATGTGACAACTTGAAGTCTTAAATGTTCCGGTTTTGGACCTTGGACTATTTTGGATTTCAGATTTTAGGATTAGGGATGCTCAACCTACACAACTGAATTGTGGGGAAAGACCTAGGTAGCTGGAATGCATGCCACGGAAGCCGGCTATGAAGGGACTGCAGACAAGAGCTCTGGGGCTGCTATGAGAAGCTTCCTCTGGACAGACCCACTCAGACACTGCCCAGAGGAGGGGTCTTTGCACAAAGTGACTTAACCCAGTGATTTTCTGTGTCCCACAAAAATATGGCAGGCATTCTGAAGGATGACAGATCTGAGCTCCGAAGAACCAGCAGCTCCAAAAGGACTGCACTTCGAGCAGCACTGACTCCATGATAAAAAACCTGGAATTCAACTGGGAAAGGCAGCCCACAGTCATGAAACATACTCCACAACACCTCTGGGACTGTCACAGGGAATGCAAATGGGGCTTGAAGCTCTTTCCTGGAGCGATCACCTGTAACCTGTACATACAGACATGCAGGAATACCACAGGAAACAGGAATGTCAGGCCATTCCAATAATCCCCAGAATGCTCACAAAATGCTGTACACAAATGCATGCAAGTAATGGGGACAGGGCAGAAGACATTTTAAAATAAAAAAGCAATATTGTTTGTGGTTTTCTCTGAAGCAGGAATTCACCAGCCACCCCTGGACTGGTAGCACAGGAACCAGTAGGAATCCTTTCGGTGACACCTAGATGCTTCATCTGAGAAGTGACACAACCCATCAGTTTCTGAGTCCTGTGGCAAGCCACTGCTCTAAGAAGCCAGATCTCCAACAAACAAAAGAGACAAATACCAGCTGGGAACAAGCGCTAACCACTTGGTTTACTCCTTGGTCAATGTACTAGCTGGGTTTGATTCACTGGGATAGTGGATCAGAACACGAAGATCTATGCTAATTAGCTATGTGACAATGCCAGTACCTGTCTGGGTCTCAGTGAGGCATCTGTACAGAGAAACAGAATGAATTGAGAAGAGTTCTTCAATTTGGGGGTTTTCTACCAATCAATTCAAAAGTCCTCAACACTGCCACATCCAGGGGCTGAGACTTATTAGGACCCAAGTGAAGCCGAAGTACCTTTTTTGATGTAGGAACGTACCTACCAAGCCCACATTCCTGTCTGTCAAGGAGAGGGCAGGCTAACAGTGCCCTCAGGGTTCAGCCTCAAAGAAACAATCTGTCCAGCAGCTGTACAAACCCATCCTCCAGCATTCAGAGGGCAAAGGTAGGGGCTTGGTCCACAAACAAGAATCACAGGCACCATCTCCAAAGATGCAGGAGGGAAGTGAGCAGGCATGCCAGTGAGGTAGGGTGCTCTCATGTAGGAAAAGACCAGTGCTGTTCTAGACCTTAGGGATGGAGGGCAGCAAATACTCAACATAGGCAAAGACAGGTGACTAGAGGCCACCAGAGGGAGAGTAGGCAGTTCCTATAAAGTCCTTTTTAGAGGGAAGCTTTCGGCCCAACCCAGGAAAACTCCTCTCCCAGCAGTTTCTGTTCCTTACAATCAAAACAACCAGCCATGTGACTCACATGCCCACGTGTCAACACAGGCTCAAAACACAACACTGGCAAAGCCAGACATAAACTGGACAGTGGTGGATCAAACCAACTCAAGAGTAGGCATACCCTGTGGTTAGGACACAACTGACAGCTAAGGACTCCATGCATGACCCCAAGGACGTACTACCCTGTCACCAGGATGAGGCCTGGGTTTTGCCCTTTCCTTAGCTATAATGGAGAACCACCGGGTTTTACAACCGCGTTTCACAGTTTTACGAGCGTTTAAAGATACACACGCCCCACAACTTCTATTTCAATAACCAGCCTGGAACTTGCCTGAGTAGTCACTACTGTGGTCACAGCCACCCAAGTTGTCTCCACTTCCAAAGATGGAGTCCAGCTACACTACGGAAGAACGAACGCAAAGGATTTCCCAATGGAAACAACTTTAAGATCATTGAGAACTTCCTAAAACTCAAAATACCAAAGGTTGGTAAAATCAAAAGCACTTATGTTCTCATCCTGCTGCAGCACCTCTGCCCACCCCCTCCCAACGACCGGAGTCGAGGCACACTCACCCGGGGGCCACCACCTGGCCGGGTTGCACACACAGTTCACGGACCACGCCCGCGCGCTCAGACCTGAGTCTACGCTCCGCGCGCGCTGCGCGCACGCAGCCCCCGGAGGTGGCGCGAGCCGGGGCCTGCCCGGAGGGCTGCGCGGAGGCGGCAGCCTCGCACACGGCCAGTACTGAGCCGATGCGTACAGCCGCGCCCGCTGCCACCTTCCACTCTATCAGGCGCAGCGGCGTGGGGCCCGGGCAGCGCACCTCGGCCGCGGCTGCCGTCGGGGAGCCCTCCGTGGACGCCCCGGCCGAAGGCGGCGCCTCCATCACGGCCCGATGGGCAGCAAGGAGAGCAGGAGCAAGGGCGGCGAACGGCAAGGACAACAGAGCTCAGAGCACGGCGCCCACCGCGGGCGGAGGCGACACTGTAGTTCCCGCTCGGACACCGGCTTCACCCGCCGCACTGTGCGCACCCACTTCCGGGAGGAGTGTGGCGTCACGGAGGGCGGGGCTGATGACGTGCCAGCGCATGCACGCATGCGTGCGCTCAGGCAGCGGCTGAGCACTCGGCCCGGGGCCCCGAGGCGTTGAGCCACAGCTGCAGGGCTCTGGTCCTCGATATTGGGAATACAGGTATATGACGTGAATCGCTGTCACAAGACTTCCGTCATGCGATGCTAGCTCTGACCTCTCGAAACTACAAATCCCGGCATGCAGCGCGGGCGTCTGTGTCAACTCCCGGCGTACACTGCGAGAGCAAGGTGGCGAGACTACGGGTCCCGGCATTCAGCGGCGGACTGCTGTACCGGAGTGTGCTTTGTGAGCCTGATGTCGCGAGACACGAGTTCCAGCATGCAGTACAACTGGTCCCCCAATTCCCGTCGTGCATTGCCAGTTTTGCCGTTGTGAAACTACAGGTCCCATCACTCGTCTGTGACTACTTTTCTGGTTTCCGCCGTGCAAGCCCCGACGTCTAGAGACGCGGCGGGGCTGACCCACAATTCCCGTCTTGTTTTTGCATCTCAGTCGAGTGCGTTGAAGAGGTGCGAGTGACCAGTGGCTGGTGGTACTTGCCTCTCTTGTTGGGGCCCTCATTCCCAGCGTGGGTCTCGGGTTGGCTGAGGGTGTCTAACCCCTCTCCGGTCTCCTGACTGACCCGCTTGTAGTTTATGAATCTCCTAAAAGAGCTTCCAGATTAGGCTGGAGCGGGCAGGAGATCGCAGCGCCGCAGGGTTGCGGAGCCCTGTACTCCTGACCCGGCAGTGAGCACTCTTGTTCCAAAGATGTTATCGGATCTTAGGCAAAGCAACCAGGCCTTCGTTCCTACGGGCCCTGTTCGTAGAATAAGTGCAGCACATAGCATCCGAGGGGCCTTATTTTCTAGACCAAAACTAAGAAAATAAGACAATCTCAAGTCGCGTGGTTTTAGTTGCGTTGGTTTTCCACTGGTCTTCCACTGACGCACATTCCAAGTAGGATTGCAGTGTGCTTCAGAAGCAAAGTGTTGTACCAGTTACTTAATTACTAATGTCCCAGCAAATGTATAAGGAACTTAGTTGAAAGTTAATGTGACCAGATCGTGAGACTTTGGATCCAGGGGGATGTCACTACTGTCCCACAGCCCATAACCCCCAGGCTTTCGTTTTATGTTTGCATTAAGTGTAAAAGAATGATCATCAGGTTGAAAGAATTGTTCCGTTAGAAGGAAAGGCACCTGGCTTGTAGAATGAGACCACAGCCAGGAAGGTTAAACGTTAGAACTCTTTAACATCTAGGAATGGATGCGTTTCTGAATCCATAAATTTTCAGACCTCCAACTCCATTTACTTTCCCTAAACTTTGTCAAAAGCCAGAGGATTACTTCAGTTTCCTGGCTTAGAGTGTTTCTTTCAGACTCACCTGTGTTCTCTGATTAGCAGATTCTGGTTAATTCTAGTGAGACCAAAATAAGAGAAGATTGAGAGGAAAGATACAGCAATTGCCAGGACAAAGGATTTAAGAGGGCCTTTTCCCAAAGGTGATCTGTCTCTCTCTCTCTCTAGATACTCAACAAGCACATGAAAATATGCCCACAAAAACTAGAGCTCTTAGCTAGAATACTATAGGCCCTTTCTTTGCTTCCCAAAACCATAGGAGGAAAGAAAGAAAAGGAAGCATTATTTGCCAGGCTTGGTGGCACAGTTCTATAATCTGAGCACTCAGGTGGAGGCAGGCAAGTTCAAAGCCAGAAAGGCACATAGAGCCTGTGTGGTGGCACATGCCTTTAATCCAAGCACTCAGGAGGCACAGGCAAGCAGATCTCTGTGAGACTGAGGCTGGTCTGGTCCACGTAGCTAGTTCCGGGCCAGCTGGGGCTACAGGGAGACCTTGTTTCAAAAGACAAAAACAGAAAACCAAGGTGATAATATATAAAAAGGTGCTCACAATCACTGATCATTATGTGTGGACATTGGAACTTTGTGTTACCATGTTCTTGGCATCTTATTAAAAGGAAAGGTCACACAAATAGCAAAGCAGCAAAGAATTTTATTCAAGGGCAAAAGAAAAGTATAGAACTGATGACTCAAAGGAGCAGCTACTTGAGGTAGAGTGCTCAAGAATACTGGTCAGTTGTTTGAAACTTTCTTTATGGGGTCCAGGAGGACTAGGGAGGAGGGGGGTAGCTTTCTGTTTTGATTGGCAGCCTTGAGTTGTGGAAGTCTTTGTTCACTGTGCACATCCTTTCCTGTGATTCATGTGATTTTAATCAAATGTATGCCCAGTTGCATAGGCATAAGATGGTAAGAGTTTTCCCCTAAAAGTTCATTTTGAGGACACAGTTTGTTTTGCTTTATTGCACATGAATTCAAAACCAATTTAGGCTGGATTGGCCCACTACCCCTAGTTTCAAGATGTATTTGGACACAAAGGAAGAGATTACTAAAGGTGGCTAGGGAGCTATGCTTTTGTTTGGAGAGGGGTGGCATGCCCCTCAGTGAAAGAAGTCCCAGGTTTCTAAGTGCACTGTTAAGAAGGCTGTGTGTGCACAGCTCAAGCCTAACAGAGTCCTAGGTTGCTGAGTTTTCCCTGGCCTTGTCAGCCTCATAGAGAAGTGCAAATCAATACTTTTTTTTTTTGTCTTTTGAGACAGGGTCTCCCTGTAGCCCCAGCTGGCCTGGAACTCACTATGTAGACCAGGCTGGACTTGAACTCATAGAGATCTGCCAGTCTCTGCCTCCCGAGTGCTGGGACTAAAGGCATGCACCACCATGTCCAGCTGCAAATCAATACTTTGATGAAATATCACCTCATACTTAATAGGATGGCTGTTATCAGAACAAAATCAGTGTTGGCAAAGACGTGTGAAATTGAAAGTCAGGGTACTGCTAGTGGGAATGTAAAAGGTCACCATGGAAAAGAAGCAGTATTTAGAAGAGCTATATGCACATCCAGGTTCACAACAACATTATTCACAATATCTAGATGGTGGAAGCAACCACAGAGCCTATGGACAGATAAATGGTAAAGTGTGGCATGGACATTCCATGGGAATCTCTGAAAATCTGACTCACTACAGAGTGGGTAAATGTTGAAGACATAATTTGAAAGAAGCAGGCCCCCAAGTGTATGATAGTGTATGATATCATTTATGAAGTATCTAATAGAGTCACTTTTTAAAGAAAAAATTAAATGGCTAACTATGTAGAATGTAGAGTGTTTTTTCCTGCATGTAAATGCACCCATGTATGCAAGCTTGTGGAGGCCAGAAGAGGGTGTTGAATCCCTTGGAACTGGAGTTACAGACAATTGTTACCTGCCATGTGGGTTCTGGGAATGGAACTGGGGTCCTTTGCAAGAGCAGCCAATGCTCTTAACTACTGAGCCATCTCTCCAGCTCCTAATTGTTTTTCTAAAGATTTATTTTTATTTTATGAGCCTGGGTGTTTGCCTGCATGTATATATGGACACCATGTGCATGCAGTGTCTGCAGAGGCCAGAATAGGGTGTCAAGCCCTTTGGAAATGGAGTTACAGGCAGTTGTGAGTGACTGTGTGAGTTCTGGGAACTGAACCTGGGTCCTCTTTAAGAGCAGCCAGTGATTTTAACCAGTGAGCCAGCTCTTCAGCCCTTGTGATAGTTAATCTTAATTGTCAAGTTGATGGGATCTGGAATTGATCTAGACACATACCTTTGGGTGGATGTGTCAGGGCAGTTCCAGGAAAGATTAACTGAAGGAGAAGATCTTCCCTCAGAGTGGGTGGCACCTACCTACAGATGGCCCAAATATAAAGAGGTCTAAGGAAAAAAAAGCAGTCTTTCTTTCCTGTTTGCCTTTGCTTCTTGGTGGTAAGTGTGTCTATCATGTTGCTGCTGCCACTGCCATACTTCCCTGACATCACATTCCAGTGTGGACTGAGGAGAAGAGACTCTCCAGGAATCCTCTAGACCTCCAGCACCAGATTGGGACTGCTTAAGCATCCAACCTCACAACTGAGCAACTGTGGAGTTCTTGGTCTTTCCAGCATGCAGACAGCCATTGTTGGACTACCCACTCTTCCTGCCATAATTGACTGTATCTCCTTTTAAACTGTGAGCCAAAACAAACCCTGTAAATTGCTTCTGTCAGATGTTTTCTAATAATGACAATAAAAGTAACTGATACAGAAAATTGAGGAGTGGGGCTATTGCTGTATGTTGACTGTATGTTGACTGTATGACTGCATGGTTCATAGGCCTTTGGAACTGGTTTCTAGGAGGAATTTGGAAGAGTTTAGACCAATGGACTTCAGAAGCCATAGAATGCCATAATGAGAGCTTAAGGGGCCATATGCTTCTGGTGGGAGCATAGATGCCCAGAATGCCAACAGGAAAGCAGACAGTAAAGACTGCCACAAGCTTTTTTAAGAGAACAAAAACTCTCAGGAATTGAACAGGAGGCCATTTGCATGACCTTATGGGAAAAAAATCTGGCTGCATTCTGCATGTATTCTGAAAATTTGAATGAGGCTGAATTCAAAAGTAATGGACTGAGTTGTTTGGCAGAGGAAACTTTGAGGCAGCATAACATTCTGGCTGTGGAATGGTTCCTGCTCACTGCACTTAGGTTTATAATGAGAAGAAGACATGAAAACTGTGCAGTTTGTCAAGGAAAGGTGTGTGAGAGAGTTTAATGTTGCAGACAAGGTAAGTGAGAAGGAAGCTATAATTGTTAAAGATATTAGTGCCATTAAAAGAGGCACTTGGACTCTGCACTGGGACAGTGGGAAAGGTGCCCTGACCCTATCTGTTGAAGGCTCTAACTTGTAAAAACACAAATTCATTTGAAAGAAGAGGGCCTGAACTGATAATGCTACTGAAGGGCCTCTCTATTCCCAAACAACTGGCCAGGGATGTGCTTTGCAGGATACAGCCCCAAAACTACACAGAGGACACTACAACTGTGGTAGAAGAGTGCCAGAGTACATCTTGAGCTGACACAGAACTTGCCAATGTCAT